TTCATAACATCAACGCTAACAGAGAGATTGACATGTTCACCTCCCAAGGTACGTACCATTTTTATCTCTTGCTCCCGAAGCCTGCAGGTTGTTGAATTGAACCGCATCAAGTTCCCTTTTTGGCTCTAGAGTTTGTGTATTGGACCTAACATGGAGTCTATAAATGGCAAAATCATGATGATTCAGGTCTCACTATAGCAAGTAAAGAGTATGGATCTATTAGTATTTTTTACAGCGGAGCTCATCATTACATATTGTCCACTTGGATGTTACACCCCTTCGTTAGTACTTATCGTGATTTTCCCTATGGTTTACCTTTCAGCTCATTCTCATCACAAAATCTGCACGTACAAATTATGATAAAGTATAGATTTAATATATATATATAAACAGCCCCACCATTATTTTGCATGTATGATAAAAACTGCCAATCTGTAAGATTTAAATTGAGAAGTGAAAGGATGATCATTTTTGGACCATATTCACTGTGTAATAATCAGTAATAATGGTTGATGTTTTACAAATAGATTCAAGAGGAAGAACGCCGAGATCTGTGAATTCGTCGGATAGAGACTTACCGGATATACCGAAGTCATCGAGACGGCAGTCGAGCGGCGACTTCATCATGGATTCACCGAGCAGAGACAAGCCAGAAAAGCCAAGGCAGAGAAGGTCATCGAAAAACAAGGATTCTCGAAGCTCCGCGGCCTGTGATTTGGGCGAAGGAAGTGAGTCGCCAGCGAGGAATCTGCCTGGCATTCCCAAGAAGTCCCGAAGGAAGAAATCCAAAGAAGCTTCTGGTAGTGCTGGTGGCGGATCAACAAAGTCCAGATTGAAATCTCAAAACTCGGATTTGGACGTCGGGTCGCCGTCTTGCTCCCTAACAAAGTCCAGGAACAAACAAAGGTCCTTCGACGAGGACGCACAGAGTGAAAAAGGATAATGATAGTGAAATTTCTCGAGATATTGGTGTAAGTATTTTGTCCCCCACCCACCCCCCTCTTTCACCCACAGAAACCGGTGTAACCGTGTAGGTAAATGTCACTTCTTACTAGCTAACCAGCTAGTGTTTTGCTCACAGCCGTCCAAAAATAACGAGTTTTGCATAGTCCAGACTTGAAACAAGATCCCCTCTTCTGTCCATATATATTTTTTCGCCATTTTCTAATTGTCTGTTTCTAGTTTCCCCATTACAAATCGTCCTTTTTTTTGGCAATCGCATTTTTGCATACAAATTAATTAATTGTATTTGCCCATCTTTTGTTGGATGGAACTTTAGTTTATTATTTTTGGATAAGTTTACTCCTTCTAACAGGGCAATTTAAACTTTGAGTGATGATGTCAAATTCTACTTTTCTCATAATACAATACTCATCTCATTTTATTTACAAGACATTTTCAATATATTGTATCGAAACTAGCAAAAATATCAAACTTTATCTATAACTTGTCTTAAAATTTAATAAATTTTACTTTTACTCTTATACAATATATATTCTGTAAAAGAGTACTGTAGTACGTTATTGTAAGTTGTAACAGAAATATATGTGCTCTTTTTTCGAGTGAAAAAAAAAATATGTGTGCTCGAGTTACGCTTGCCGCCACAGCACCACTTGTAAAAACTGGCATTGGGAAGCGGCTCATGCATGCATATTATCCATCAAAAGAGTAAATAAAACAAAACCAAAAAATATAATGGAAAATAATGGAAAATAAATGAACATGCGCTTCTGGCACTAATTAGATGCAGTGATATCAGTTATCACTAGTCGTTACCATTCCTCCGCGAGGCATTTCTTAAAATTCCTACCTACACTAAGTATAACATGTGATTTGCTATTTTTAATGGGCAAAAAAAAAAACCTTGGTCTCTTCTTGACTAGTCCTACTCTCGGTAAGGATGAACCACCCTCATAAACATGTAAAGACAAACAAAATCGCCAGGGAAGTGAACAAGAAACGAGGATAAAATTGGACCAAAGAAACTCCATTGAAAGTGACAGCATCAAGAATATCTGCTTTCTTGCTGCAGGGCTTTAATTTCCCCAAGCTGCCTCTGTTTTTAGCATTCATCAATGTGTCGTCCACACAGAGCCGTCTGTTTCCTGCCAACTTTAGCTTTTCTCTGAATTCCATGGAAGATGGGATTCTACCACTCAAATTGTTGTTCTCCAAGTTTATTTCTTCTATTAGATCTAGGTGGTAAAACTCCTCAGGCACAGGCCCATCAAGCTTGTTGTTATCTAGCCCAAGATAAGACAGGTTTCTGAGATAAAACCCCATTGATGCAGGGATGTTACCAATCAAACCCAGGTCTGAAAACCCTATTGTTTTGATACTTTCAAGATTTTCCCATATTTCTGGAATCTTCCCACCTAGAGCATTCCCACTCAAATACACTTCCTTTAATCCGGGAATTTCTCCCAGGAACAGAGGAATTCCAAATTGACCGAAACGGTTGTAGCTGAGGTCTAAAAACTCGAGGCGCTGCAAGTGTCTGAAACTTTCTGGGATCTTACCCGTGAATCTGTTGGATCTCATATCAAGCTTTAGAAGCTCCGTGAGACTACCAAGTGATTCAGGAATAGGCCCCTCAAAATTGTTTTGACTAAGATCAAGAAGCTTTAGCTTCTTCAAATCACCTAAACTCCCAGGAAGTTCACCAGCAAGTTGATTTCTGGACAGCGTAATCTCTTCCAGACCAACTAAACCACCTATCAGGTTAGGAACTTCACCATAAAACCCATTTCCCGTCAAAACCAGCCTCCTCAAATTCGTAAAATTACGTAATATACCATCCAAAGGATCTACCAAAGACGGATTTTCGATGAACACGAGCTCCTCAAGACCCGAACCAAAAGACGGAGGAACATCAGGCAGAGAAACCCTAGACCCGTTGAAACATTTGTAAAAGAAGAGCTTGCGAAGGTACTTAAACGAACTGAAGAGGAGAGGGTCGAGAGTCGCATTTTGAGAGCAAGGTGGGTTAGGCGTGAAGTCTGACAAATACCCGAAGTTCAACTCAACAATGTGTGCCGTTTCGTTGCCATCACCAGAACCATCAGATTCAGAAGAATAGTCACAAACCACGCCGTGAGGGGCAGAGACACAAAGATCGTCGGGGAAGAGAGAACGCCACGGAATGGCCGAGTTGACTGAGTCCAGCACCCGGTAAACCGATTCCTGCTCAGCAGCGTCCAGCGGAGGTTGCTGGTACGAGAAAACCACCAGAGACAAGATGACAACGAGAGTAAGAGTAAAAACTAGGTGACACAAAGCCATCGAAAAGAAGAAGAGGAAAAGAACGACAGAGAAGCAGAACAGCGAGGTTTAGCAAGAAAAGTGCGCAAGTAGGCTGGTGAGGAAGATGGGAGAGCAGATACATATAGCATATAAGGTACAGCAGTGAAAATGGTGTGGGAAAGACAGAAAACGAAATAACCCAGAAAAATTATGAAACAAACAAGCAAAGATAATTGAAGATTACCAGTCTAACAACGAAAAGTATAGCATAACAGTGCAGGATCACGAAGTTAGTGGTTAGCTTTAGTGAAATTGATGGAGAACTAGAAAATGACAGGAGAGAGAGGCGAGTGAGGGGAGGACGGTATGCTAGTGGCAATCGTACGAGCGCTATATGATTGTGGGGCCAGAGGACAGAAGTGAGGTGAGGTCAGAGTCATACGATACGACTCTGAGGCGCAGTATAACTAACAAAGCGTCGGAGCAGGCCAGCTAGCAGAAGCAGAAAAACGCTCGGCAACATTTTGCATTTACGAAAAAGCAGCACGAACTAATCAATTAATGATAATGTCTCGTCTGGGGCTATGACCCTGCGAGCTTTATTATAGGTGAGGCTCCTTAACTGCAAAAGGAAACTGCCGCTTGCCGCCAAGGGCTCCTTAAAGCCGACACGCAGCCGCTGATCGCCGTCTCACGTTGCCCCGCATGAGAGCTGATATGATACTAAATTATTAACTGAAGAAAATAAAACTAATTAATTGTTAATGTGGTAATTTTTTACTTTTTTTGGTCAGAACTCTCCAGTCACCAATTAAATAATATTACTTATATTCACCTCAACTCTATTTATAGCCTGCATCGTGGGGCCCACCGTTGATTTCCGTGGCCCCACCGGAACATGCGTCTTATGCTTCTTCTATCACTGTAATTCTATTGTTGTGTTGCTTCCTCCTGTCTGTTTTAGGGGAGCAGCCTCGCGATACCGCCATCGCAGGACGTCAGTTCCCGGCCAACGGCATAACTTCAACTTCGATTACATTCATTCCCTTCAATTTTTGGAAAGAACAAATAGATATTTAAGAATATTTAAGTACCCTCCCATTTCAGCTCACGACCTAGCAAATGCCACATTGGTAATATATGTCAGTTATTGGCAAAAATAAGTTTTGGTTCTAAAATAATTAATTAATAGTGTACTTTAATGTTGATTTTTTTAATTTTATGCTTATTTAATTTTTATTAGAAAGAGAAAAAAGAAAGCAGAGATATGAAAATGATTTGTAAACATAAAAAAAATTTAATAAGAATAAAATTAAATTTTTTTATTAATTTATTACATTTTTTGGTATGTGATAAAATGATACAAGTGATTTATATTAAAAACTAGAACAGTATGTATATGATAATGGTGATTATTAGGAGCATGTGAATAGCTAAGGAAGCTGTATGATGCAGGAAAATTTTGTGAGCAGTGATGACATGCTCCTGAGTTCATTTTTAAAGCTGCTATTAATTAAAAAGACGAAGTTTAGTTGCCAAATATAATAATCTTAACAGAAATACGCCTTTCAGAAACAATAATAATAAAAATAATTATAAAAACATTAAAATATCTATATAATATAAATAACAAAATAGAAACTCTTAACCAACCTCATTATTAAGCCATCAAAAATGCAACTCGCTTCTTATATTTTGTGCCATTTATGCTACCCTTGTTGTCTAAAGAATTGAATTTTTTTTTTTGAAAAAAAAGAATCCTTCCTTGATGACAACCAAATAACGCCCTATTGTAAAAATACAAAGGCTTCAATTCCCTGCTGCAAATTCGTTTGGTACTTAATTCAGGATTGGCGTAAGAAGAACGTTAAATGAAAAAAAGAACAGGGGTAAGAAGCTGCTAGCTATTACAAGAGGAAAAAGTTGGCCTACGACGAATGGCCAAACACCTCGAAGAATTTCACACGCCGAAGAAAGATTCAGTATCCACTGCTGCCACCAGAAATATCTCTCATGCCTTCTTGGTCTGCATGAACAAACAATTGTTACAAAATTTCATACTCTCAGATGGACACAGAAGCGAATGCCATTGAGAATGAGAAAATGGAAAGTAAGACAGCCAAAGACTAATGCATGTTTCGAATTATAGATTACTTGTTTCTCTGCACTTGATCTCATTCATTTACTCTTCCAACTCTATCTAGCAACTAGCATTGTTTTCTCCCCACGGACAAAAACAAAAAATAAAGGACAATTTATTTTAAGATGAGAAGAAATATACGGCCCATAAATCCTACCCTACTTCTCCTAAACAAACAAGAAAGCATGCATCTAAAACCAGGAAAGACAAAACGGAACTTACTTTACTCAGGTACTTTTTCTGAATTTTCAATGCCTCAGTACATGCTTTTTTAGCATCAAGATTTGCCGTTATGTCACCCAAGATCTGGAAAGAATGGTTCATGTAAGATGCATTCAGAAACAGATGTAAATGGTTCATGCAAGATGCAAGCAGAAACAGATGTAAATGACTAATGCGTGCTTGAAACTATTAATACATGCATCTATGCAGGGGGATGGAAAGAGAGACCTTAACAACATCATCTACACCCTTAGCCTCCTTTAAGATCTGCCTATTCTTCACTTCAAGAACACTTGCAACAAGAAAAACTGCTAGGGCACTATGCTGCTCAGTATTGCCTGTTGTCAAGTTCTTCCTCTGAAATTTGCCGTACTGCTTCAACAATTTGCCACTCACTACAGGTGCATTTTCTTGTGTTTGGGAAGTCTCTGGTTTTTCATATAATGAGAAGATGTTTGGGTTGTATTCCATGGCCCACATCAACTGAAAACAATCTATATTATGTTTTAAAATGAGCTTCTTAATTTGGAGCTAGTACAGACTCCAAACTCCCCAATTTTACCCAATGAGCTCATGTAGATTGGCAATACCAATTACTCCTTACCTCCCAAAGATAAAGAGCATCAGCAAATGAAAATTCTCTGCGGAAAAGAACCATCAGCATGCGAAATGCAAAGAGATACTCCCCAGCATCTAAATCATCTGTGAAATAAATATATACATTGTTTGTAAGCTATTTTGAGGGCATTCAAACTAATATAATGTTTCTGTATGAATTTTGACAACTATAAGGATGAGAGGGATTAACAAGTAACCAATCCTTTTTTGAGAGGACCCTTACTACCATAGCCAAATTAACAATTACAACACACTTTCAAAAGATGGAGCAAGGTTTTCCGTAATCGAGCAACCTCAAAATATATGATTGTAAGAAAGAATTTCCCATCAATATCAGCTATCTCAAAAGTATGCTTCCACTCTTGAAACATCTTTGATTCTAGTCAAAATGATAATATAGAAACAGCTTTTGAAACGATATACAAATCATGACACATGAGAAGTTAACCATACATATTGACCATACCAAGATGTTGGTGGAGCTTGGGATCAACAATTTTAATAATCTGGGAGAGCGTACTCAACTGAGATTGCACCCCCATTGAACTTGCACTGGTCCTGAAATTCTCTCTCTATAATGCAAAAACAGCAGGGGTGTGAACTCATCACAAAAAGTCATTATCTAGGGACAAACACTGGCCACTATTTAAATAAAAGCAAGGGCAATAGCCAAAGGCGAGAATGAAACTGAAGCCAACTCTAGAGTCTGACTCATGATTTCAGGATTAAGCTGCTCACACCTTTTGCAGTTATAGATGCATTCATGGACAAACTACCAAAGAAATGTGTTGTTTTCCTAAATCTCACAAGTTTCTCCCAAAATGGCATTGTCTGTAGGGTTAAAATCAGAATTTGCCGCAAAATTCTCTAAAGGTCAAAGAATCCCCATTCTCCATTTCCCATTTTATCTTTGGGGACATTTTGTTGACAAGTTGTGAATTTAACCCTAGACGGTACAAAGTAGTTTCAGGAAAAATTCCATGAACTAAAGTGAGAGGCTTTTCTCTACGTGACCAAAGTTAAAGGTGAGTAATCTCTAAGTGCTAAATCATTAATTGACTCGAATACTTTTTTGTTTTGGTAAACAAATGACTCAAATACTTATTATTAATATCTACGGCCCATAGGTTGCAATGACTTTCTCATTTTAATATCAATCACCTAAACAACAAACACTTGAAGGCAGCACTCATAGGCAAAAAATAGCGTATCATAACCACAACAACATATCTAGCATACCAGCCTTCGCATTGCACGCTCAAAGCACCAAAAGGAATCTGCTTCATCCTCAAGAAGTATCACCATGGGTGAGCATATATCATTCATTCCTGCAAAAGAAGTAATACCTGGGAATCTCTCAACCTGAAGATACTTTAATCTGACAATAAAAGGACGAAAAATAGTAATTCACCTTGCACATAGCCAATATCATCATCCAACCACGTATAAATTGACAGAACATCCCATAGTTTTGCTTGATTAGTTTCACTCTCATAGAACACAAGAGCTCGATCAGTTCTTACAACATCCAAACCTACAACAAAAAATAAAAATTTAACAGTGTGGATGGTTACTGAAAGCATAGGCGAACATTTCTACAGCAAAACATCAACAGCATAAATCCATCCAGCTAGCATGTTCCTTGTGATGCTAATGCACCGTGAATATCAATGGACCAGATGTCAACGCCACAAGAACTAAGGCACAAGCCAATCATTCTTGATCTCATTATATAACATAAATATGCAATTGGTTTGTTACATTCAATCCTGGGAGCATATTTTGAATGTCACAAGCTCGCTGCTATGCATGTTTAATCCTCATATTTGAATTTAAAATTAATATTTAGGGCACTTTTCCTCTTCACGAGGGAGATTCATTAACTAACCAATTTTGAAAAGGCCAAAGACCATGTAGCAAAAGTTGTACAACAAACTAAACCCGGACAGAATGGATATATCTACAAAGCATTTAATGAGTATGAAAAGCGCATACATACCAATCTGATGTAACGTCTGTACCCACTGCAGAACTTTCTTATCTGAAAGAGGCACACTTATCAAAGAATCATCGGTTGGCTGGCCATCATCACCGATGAGAGGTGTTGTAATGAATTTTCCAGTACCAATAACTGGAACCAACCTTTGACATTCAGCTTTCCATGTGTTGAATTGTTCCCTGAATAATAAATTTACCACACAATTATATTTAGCATTTCCAACAAAGGACAAAGGAGGGAGGGCAGGAAAAGAACCAGCAGATTTGGGATTCAAAACCTGGCAAATTCAAAAGACCAGCTAGCTTTTTAGGAGATAAAAGAAAACATGACCATGTATGAGATTTAGATTGATATTTGAAGAAAACAAAAGACATGATAAATTTTTTGGTTCATGGGATTGGACAAAAGAATGGAATTCAATAGAACTCAGCACTTAATTCTTTACTAAAAGCACTTAATTGCATACTAAAATAGCATGGGTAACTTTAGTGGGCCATAAGAATCTGTGGAGTATTTTTGTATTCTTGTTCTCGTTTAAATTATGAGTTCAACAAAAATACACTTGAATTAATCTATACCTCCTTTGCTCCTTAAGTTGATTCCGTTCTTCAAACGTGCTGTTAGGATCATAGCAGCCTAACAAGAACTCCCAAACTACTCCTTTAATTGAAGGATGTATACCCTGCACAATTTATAAAAATAAAAATTGACATCAGTAAGAGAGCACACATATTAAAAATAGGAAACATTAAAAAAAAAAAAGTAAAATGTAATTTTGTCAGCACGAAAGATCAACTATGATACAGTTGGCAAAATAAAATAAACATCAGATTGTCATCATTAATCACTATTATTATGTGGAAGGATGCAGGGGAAATGATTCACTACAAAACACATATAACCACAATACGCTTCGGGTATTTACAATAAACCGTTATACTAAGTAATTACTAACTTAGCTACTCTATTTCTTATTAACTAGCAAAAGTCATCAATATTCTCCCGACAAACAGAACAGACTTATTACAGAAATCAACGCATTACAGGCCTGTTATAATATATGCATGTCCAATGCATATATTATAATTGCAAACAATGTTCCATGACTAAACTCAAATGTAATGCATGTTCACACATTCATAATATATGATTCGATAAGGACACAGTCATCTAAATCTGAACAGTATCATAAGATTACCCCCCGTTGGGATTCGTCTAAGCACTTTGGCAATATCCAAGTGACCATCTTGAGTGAATGAAGCATGCCATCTTCTTTCACTTAGAGTTTGCCAGCCTGTTGAAATAGAAAGCACCAAAGTGTTGATCATCATGTAATGCTGAAATACTACCTCCAGTCCTAATTATAAGAGCTAGTTGACTAATCTGAGGAAATTAAGGAAAGAAGTTAAGTTAGTTATTTGTAATAAATAGGTGTTGTCTTTCTTAAAATATCCTTACTAATAAAGTATGTTGGCTAAAACTATAATTATTAGAAGGACTATCTTAAAAAAAATTGAGTAAATATGAGAGACAAAATGGATTGGGATTTTATATTTAGGACCAACATAAAAGTCAAACGGGTCTTATATTAAGAACTGGGAGGTAGTATTAAAAAAAAAGTCAACCCACTGTGCACGTATATGCAATAGTAATGCTGAAAAGTAAACATGATTTTTCTTTAGAAAAATTGCAAGGTTTAAATGAATGACTACGATGGATACCTAAGTGGGATGACAATCCTATCCCAAAAGCTAGTTGTTGAAGTGGGAGAACCAATCCATTTAAGCGCCAAGCATCCCACTTAGTATCACATATTACAAGTTTCAATCAGACTCCCGGTTGAATATCACAAATGCATCGTCAATTCATTATGGCATTACATAGGAGAAAACCGTCCACATACCAGTAATTCATATGCTTTTTCAAACAAATAATATTGAGAAGCCACGATATGACAATAATCAAAAAGTAGAAAACCGCACCCTTGGTTTAAAACGAGTCTTTGGAACGTCAGCTATACATTCTGGTCGGATGGGATAGAAAGCATCCAACTCAGTCGTACCATCTGCCTTCCCAAACATTCCCAAACAAAAACAAGTGTCAAAGTGCTCTCCGCAACCGAAGGTATGGGATTCGTCGCATCTCGCCAGTTGCTAGGACTTCGTATTTAAGCGCTGCCAGGTGAACAATCCAACCTCAATACATAAAACAAAAATAACCAATTTCAATGTTAAAGACATCTTTCAGAAATACAACTCGCATAGTTTCCTTAAAGCTTCCTTCAATTTTTTTTTGGGGGGGGGGGGTTTTCAAATGCTCCAGAAAAAAATTTTCCATCACCTTTCCCCCTAAAATCTACGAATTTTGTTATCAAATCTTCATCTGTTTTACAAGTTTGACAGAAAATTTGTCCAGCCAATCTGATTCTGAATATTAATCCAGTGCTTAAGTACCGAGAAAAGATGAGATGTTTTATTTGAAAAAAAAAATTATCCAATCAAAGAAAGGAGGAAAAGGCCGCGACAGAATATAAACCACCTTCTCAGTTCTAGCAAGATCGTGGAAATTCATATAATTTCAGAACCAGGGATGAGAAGATTGCAAAATTTCTTGCGGTGCCCTGACCCTCTTGAGTTATTCAAATGAAAATACTATAACAGTCAATGCCATGCGTCGCATAAAGCGCTTCGGAAGGTCGGAATGTTGGAGAGTATGAAGGAAGCAAAAGAGCAAGTCGAAAACGATGTCGCGGAAGACAATCGATGAAAACTACCTGTCGAGGAAATTGACTGAGTTGGCCAGAGTATCTATAGCATGTGGTTTGATGCAGACGATTTCTTCAAGCGACTTCGATGATTTACCTCCATCCGTTGTAAAAGTAAATCCTTCCGTTCCGGCGTTAACTAGATTAAAAAAATTAAAAAAAATTTTAAATTAGTTATTTACAATACATATTATCTTTTTTAAAATATTTTTACTAATTAAGTTTAGTAGTTAAACTATTATTATTAAAATAATTATCTTAATAAATAAATAAATATAAAGAATATATTGGATTGAGATTTTATATCTAAGACTAAATAAGAATCAAACAAAATCTTATATTAATAATTTGAAGTAGTATTTTTATTGACGAACTATTTTACTCATGTTAGGTTTTGGCAAAAGCCAAAGTCATGTCATGAGAAGTTAAGGTTAATTGTTTGAGAAAATCCAAACCAAAACATTGACAATTAATATTTTATTAATTAAAATAATATTTTTAGTTTACAACAAATCTGAAACATTTTCTTTTGGCCAGAAACAAATCTGAAGCATGATTATTCGATGCTGGTATGTAAGCTCTAAAATAATCTTGTTTGGCGTATTGCACTTTACACCACTTCAAAGTGGCCCTTGAAGATGCATGTGGAGAACAGAACAGAAGATTTATGATTTAATGATTTAAACAACATTTTTCAATTATAATTCACAAATAAATAATAAATATGAGGAGAATTTTGTCCAGCAATCCAGTCCAAGCAGATTCTCTTGTCCAATGAGAAATACTACCTGCTGGCCATGGCGTGGGGATTTGAATTAACTTATTGTTTTGTACTCTACGATGTAAGAAACTTTGTTTCGAATTAACAAAACATTTTTAATTTTTGTTGTTTTGCCGTGGATGGTTAACAAAGTGTTTTTTTTTGCCGCTAAATTAAAAATATTTTATTCATACTAAAAGCTAGTGTGATAGATGACTTGTGATGAATGACTATGAGTTTAATATGTAGGAGATTTTTGAAATATCTCAAAATTATTTAGAAAAAATGTTTTTAAACACAAATTAAATAATTTTTTTTCTGAAATTACTTTTAAAATTATGATTTAGTTTCTATTTAAATCAAGAAACAAAAACCGAACCGGAAACTAAACCGGTCGAGATACTGGGTTAAGGGTTACTGGTCTGACCGGGGTCAGACGGGGTCGGACCGGTCACATTAAAATAATAAAATTTAATTCACAACATTAAAGTGAAACAAATAATGCATCCTTCTCCTCTTTATAAAATTAATCTAAAAGAATCAAATCAACATTATAATCAAAATTATAATCAATATAGGAGGCAACACTTGGCATCTAGATTCCTGACAACTCTGCTTCTCTCCATCGTCTGTCGCAATCGTTTAGTCCTCTGAGTTGTTCTACCAAGAAGCAAGAAATGAATCATGGGTTTTCTCGTTGCTGTGAGTATAAGCGAGCTAATATATGGAAAAAGAACTTGGTGGGTCGAAAACTACTGTTAATTACCTGTGAGTATAAGCGAGCTAATATATGAAATGAATCATGGGTTTTTCGTTTAGTCCCGCTTCATTTATTTTATACAGTTCAGGAAGAAAACTTTTCTGCACAAGCTCTGGGACGAAACTCTTGCTGGCCCCACACCTGGCATCAACCTCAGCAGCAAACTCCGCAAGTTCAATTCTTCTTACCCACCCGTCACTCCGATCGTCACCATTATATGACCCAGCTCGATTTTGGTGGGGGGGCGACTGGAGTCTGGGAGAAAGAGGAAGGAATCTCGACGATTTGGAGGAGGAGAGGGGATTTCGATTTGCAGAAGAGGAGAGCACGAGACGGCGAGCTAAGTGTGAGGAAGAAAGAATTCTTTTTTTCCTTTCAAAACCAGATGACGTCGTTGGTCTTCGCTGGGCAGCAAAAAAAAAAAAACCGGTTGAACCACAACCGTTATTACCCGGTTCAACACCGGTTTTTACCGGTTGGTCCGGTTTTCCACCGGTTTTTTACACCGGTTTTTTCAATCAAACCAGACCGGACTGGAGACCGGTTGAACCGGCCGGTCCGGTCCGGGTTTTTTTTCCTTGATTTAAATACCGTTTGAAAACTGGGTAAATATACGTGTGTGGAAAAAGGAGATTTTAGAGCCCCTCTTGATAATTATTCGTTCAGAAGGGTCATTAAAATTAGGGAAAACTAATCTGGCAGTCCTTATAATTTCATCTAATTTTGAATTAGGTCCTCATAGTTTTTTTTGTTTTTATTAAATCCTTATTATTTATTCTGTTAATTATATCAGTCCTTCCGTTCCCAAATCCGTTAGTTTGGCATCTGAGCAGACCGTCTTCCTGACTCAGCTACTGCGACCTCCCTCAGCTTCTATTTCACTATCCCCTCCTCTTAGTCTCTTTCGAAGTAAACGCGATCGTCTTCTCTCACCGATCATGTTCTACTTTTTTGGGCCATTAGTTTTCCGCCTCTTCTTCTACAACATCACATAGAATGAGAAGAAGAAGAAAAGGAAGCAGAGGGCAAGAAACAGAGGTGCGATGGGCAAGGTGTCGTCTGGAACATCAACGTGAGGCATATCTGGAATCTTGAGAGAGGGAGGAGTAGGAGATTCTAATCGGTATTCTTTGCCATCTACTATTGAATTTTGAAATGATAGCTTTTTTTCTTATACTGACATTAATGGACCTTGACTCGTTCTATTGCCATCCTTCGACAAACTACTGCTGATTCATATAGGTGTGCTTGGATATGACAATCTGAGGGTAAAGTTATTTATTTTTTCCCCCCAAAAAGTTCTTAGGCAATTATAATTGTTTCATCCTATTTGTGGATCAAATTTTTTCGCCACTTTCTGCAGATGAAATTAAACTCTTACAAGTTTCTTCCCCTTTGCATTTCCCCATGTTTCTTAATTAGACAATGGCGTTTACTTTGAAGGAGACTAAGAGGAGGAGAGACAGAGATAAAAGCTGAGGGAGATGGTGGTAACTGACCCAAGAAGACAGTCTGCTCATATGCCAAACTAACGGATTTGGGAACGGAAGGACTGATAATTAACAGAGTAAATAATAAGGATTTAATAAAAACAAAAAAAACTATAAGGACCTAATTCAAAATTAGATGAAACTATAAGGACTACCAGATTAGTTTTCCCTTAAAATTATTAAGGATTTTGTTATATGAAAATAAACCGTTATTTTTAACTTTGCATTTACAGAAGTTAACAAACGCTAGCTAACTTGTTCATCAGGCCCACATAATAAATACTCCACTTCTTAGAGAATATGGAGATATTTTAACGCCAAGATTTATTGATTGGGTTGCATATGCACGGCGTTTTCTCGGGGTATCGCATTATTATTATTATTATTTATATACAAAATGAATTTTAAAAAAATTAGAAATTAAGCAGCCCGAGCTGGGCTTTATTGAAATAGAACCCATAATCATTAGGAGGAGACATTTTGTTTCGTAGGGATTGATCTAACCAATAATCGTCAGCCGTGATCTTTATAAATAAACATGGTGGTTGAGGGGCCATTCGTGATTCGCAGAATCTCAAAGGGTCTCCGTTCAAAAGTGTAAAAATGGCCAGGTAGGTACTTCATAAATCAGATATTGGATTAAGTAACCCAAGTCCGAACCTATATAACAGAGACGCGGGAGGAAGAGAGATAAAATACGGCGACGTGAGTTCCAGGATCCTTCTCTTCTACTTCTGGCTTATGGTTCTGGAGCTTTTCTCTAAATAATTTGGAATTACCTTTGACGAAGACTTCGAGGAGCTTCCGTATTGACCATTCCGTTTGGCGCCATGAACATCTTCACCAAGAAACCCACGGCCAAAGGTTTGTGCCCGATCTTTGATTCCTCCTCTTTTGTTATGTTCATATTCTTCCCTGAGCAAATCAACTTACCATTGCTCAATTATCACTATCTTATATTTTTTTCGTTTCTTCTTTTGTTTTCTTTATTTGAATATATTTTTGTTGGGTTGATTGTTCACTTTGATGTTAGGTCTTCATATATTTTTTATAGCATAAAGTTCATTTCTTTTGGGTCCCCGGCGGGGGCAGAAGTGATGTCTCGTATTAAATTTTAGTGAAACCTATGCTCTTATGTCATTTGTTCGCCTTTTTATTTTATCCAGAGGCTCTTAGGGAGAGTAAGCGAGAAATGGCACACGCTACTAGGGGTAAATTTTCACTTTTTCACTACATTAACAAGCGCTGGTTCGTATTTATGTTAACAGTTCTTCTTGGTCTTATGTATACTTCAGGCATCGAGAAGGAAATTGGAGCATTACAATTGGAAGTATGTCAAACTGTCAAACATATTACGAATGATGATCCTCTTTCTAAACTTTTGTTGTCACAGCTAATAAGGCTATTACATTGTTAGGAAAAAAAGCTTCTCGCCGAAATAAAGAGAACTGCCAAGACTGGCAACGAGGTGTGATCGGCATTATCAATAATTTTGTCCCATGCTGATTTTCTGCAGATCAACTCTTGTCATCTTGATCTATTGTTAATATGCCTTGTATCTCCTTTGCCCATGCAATTTGCAGGCAGCAACTAAAGTTTTAGCTCGCCAATTGGTTAGGCTTAGGCAACAAATTGCTAATCTTCAAGGTAGTCGAGCTCAGATGAGAGGCATAGCAACTCACACACAGGTAACTTGTTGAATCCTGGTTTTTGTGATGCAGCAAGAAGCAGATAGATGTTCTGTGATCTTAGCTATGTTTGCAATTTCCTGCAGGCGATGCATGCCCAGTCTTCTGTTGCTGTTGGTATGAAAGGTGCTAGTAAGGCAATGGCAGCTATGAATAAGGTAGCATTTTTGATTTTATTTGGATGCCAGTGCATGTCTGTGTATATAATTGTTCCAACTCTAGTATATTGTGCCATTGTGCATTGCTTTGTTTGGTTTTTATCATCCCTCCTTAAGAAAAGAAATAGAAGAAAGCTTTCTGTGATCTGTGAGTGGCAGTGCAATTTCAATGAAATGAGCAAATGCATTTTGATATTTTACCAAAAGAGTGATTAGCAAATTCTGTACAAAATTTGAGCTGGTCAGGATAAGGTTGGAGTTGTTGCACAGTTTGTTAGAGTGAAGTTTCTAGAGTAGGATAGGATGATCAGAACATGAATGTCAAGTTTATGTTTTCTTTTTTTATCCCGTATATGGTAGAAGGTAGTGTTCCTCCACTTCCTTGCAATCACTTGCACACGCATAGGAAAGAAGTAGGACTACAGATATGCACCCAATGGAGTTGTCCGTTTTTTAGGATAATCTAAAAGGCAACAGGCTGCATCTGGACAGCAGTGATGATAGAAGCTGTTCTTCCAGAGCGGAACATTGACATTGAAGTCCATAAAGGACCTTTTGGATTGTTTTTCACTTCCCATGCTAAAACTAGGATATTCTTTTGCAGCAAATGGAACCTGCAAAGCAAGCAAAAGTTCTACGAGACTTCCAGAAACAATCAGCGCAGATGGATATGACTGTAAGATGACTCTTTTACTTCAGTAGATTCACTTGTGAGGAGGAAAAATATAGAAAATCATTGTTTTTCATTTATCTCAGCTTATGGATCTTAATGGTTTATCATGCAGACTGAAATGATGTCAGATGCCATAGATGATGCATTGGATAATGATGAAGCTGAAGAGGAGACTGAAGACCTGACAAACCAGGTACCTTCGTTCAAGTATTTTCTTTCATTGCATGTTAGTCTCTGTTATATTCTGTAACTTCTGCCAGAATTTGTACTGGAATAACTTCCCTAATCATTAAAAGGTTCCTGCTATGTACACTTGAGTGGCCAGTTTGTCTCAAATGAAGCAAGGCAACACTCTTGTTTTTATCATCCTTGTACTGCTCCCCACAAATCTGAGATTTTTTTTTAAAAAAAAAAAAAGAAGCAAAAAGGAAATTGGCACGGCATATCTGCATTGTGTCTTCGTCTTTTATTCTCAAGATTTGAAATGACAATTTTATTTCTGAAGTTTGTATGAATTGGTTTGTCATAGTTTCCAAATGTTTAGTAGTAATAGTTACTGGGTGGAGTCGGGCTGGGCACCGACTTTAAGATTTTAATTTCTTAAGGGGAAACAATGACTTTTATCAAAAATGAAACTGATTCTACTCGTCTCTCAATTTTGGCAGGTGCTTGATGAAATTGGCGTGGATGTGGCCTCGCAGGTTGGAATCAAGTGTTATAAATTTCATGACTCACCTTCTGTTACTTTCACTTAGTTTCTGTGCTCAATCTAATTGGGTTGTATTTTAACTTTTCGTTCAGTTGTCAGCGGCTCCTAAAGGAAGAATTGCAACAAAGAGTTCTGAAAATGCGAGCAGGTATGTACCATATGAATTTGTAACATTTATTCAAGTCATTATTATTGGGTTAAGAATTTATTTAAGAGATTGAGATTCCATGTACATTGTCTAAATCGTTAAGGATTTACTGTTGCTTGCTCCTTGTTTACTAATACAAACCGGGGTAGACCTTGTACATCTATATGAAATCCTATATTGGCAGCACTATTTATTGTTTGTGAATAGTATCATTTCCTAACATTTTTATATTTTATATCGATATAATTGAAGCTGTTTTGCTTGTGAATAAACACATAATTTCCTTGACCTTGGAAATTGTATGTTTCAGCTCGGGCGTTGATGACCTAGAGAAACGTTTGGCATCTCTAAGAAACCCATAATTTTCTGTGTTGAGTTCACGGGATTTTCAAACACAATGCCGTCTGCTAGAATCCTTGGGCTCAATTTCTCTTATGGGATTTGATGGGTTCACTTGAAATTATTGTTTTATCAAGGAATCTGTTCTGAATGTGAGAGCTTATTGTTAAGTAGTAGATGGATTCTAAGAGATGCTAGTGCGATAGGAGATTGAACGAATAGCTCTATTCACAAATAGCGTAATTTGATGTTGATTTTGTGAATTGAAATGCCGACTCGATCTTCCTTTGTTTGTTTAGTGCTTCTCGTTTGTACCTATTAAATTCATGCCTTGGTAATTGATAATGACCCTCAATGCCATAGGCCTTCCTATTTTTCCCTGCACATGGCAACTCTTGGGAATCAATCACTGCCAGTCTGCCATGTAGACTGCCATATATGTAATTTTGGGCAAACAAAATATATTCAAGGTCGTTAAGATCCTCAGTGGCCCCCTAATCTTCTTTCAAAAGCGTGCCCGCGAGGATTGTTCCCAAAAAAACAATATTGGGGTGAATATTGTTTTATCTATTATGAAAATAATGGAATCATGAGATATTTAACAAGATAAAAGGATTATAGATGAGTAGAGAATTGAAGAGAAGAGAAAATGAGAAAATTGTTCTTATTTACTTTTGAGATACTGAGCATATGATATACGCTCTCTATTTATATACACAATTTTACAACCTTAACTTTAGTCAAATCTATAATATCCATGGTAATAGAAGATGATTATGGGATAATACAAATGAGAAAAATATGAACATCTATATAGATTTTATATTCATAACATTATCAAGCTTGCTTTGAGAATCCGAAAAGAAATTCATAATTATTAATTACTCCATTTTAGGAAAAAATAACAATACTTTTCACCAAAAATATAGCGCTTACCGGGGGCCCAAAAATGTGACTAGTTCATCAGTCAAATTTGTTGATAATGTTAATTTTCAGCCCATCTTTGGGACGATTAGAAAATATTTATATTTAATATGAATAATTTAAATCAATAAAATCTTTTTTTTTTTCAATTTTGATATTTCTATTCCATAATAATTAAATATAAAACAGATATAATATTTTCATTACCAATTATTAGTCTTAAAAAAGGATTCATATTGGAAAAAAAATACTTGAAATTTGGGAAGAAAATTCATTCAAGCATGAGTCGCATACTCGCATGCCAAGACAGCTCTACTTGCGAGCGAGCAAAACCGTATATCATAGACAGGACTTGCCACGGTTCGAGTTTCATCTTCTATATGACCAAGAAAAGAAATTGAACAAGTAAACACAAGTTCCTTCCTGTAGAAAGGCCAGAAGAAAGAATCCTGGCTGAGTTCTCACTCCAGCATGTTTCAAACATGTTACCGGGGCTGAGAAATCTTGCGAAGACGCTCCGGGGGGCGGGAAACCATTCTGGTCGTGAAATGATTTCATCTGGGCAATGTGACCATGCACTGCTTCAGTACTATCCCATGTACATGATTGATTCCAAAGTTCTTGAGATCACTCAAAAAGTGATCTAGCATTTCAAGTGCATCAGAATTTAGAAAATTTCTCAGGCAGAAAAGGAAGCCCCTTACTTCCTGATAGAGAGAAGCTCAAAGCTCCTAAGAGGATCATCACGATTGCCTCTAGAAGATGTATTGCGAGTAAAACTTGGTTGTTTGCTCTCATACAAGGCGCGTGTGGTAGAAGGGCGGCTACTGCTTGTAGTCAGCCGACCAGTACGAGTATCACTGTGGTCAGCCGACGAACTCGGCTTGTTTGATGAGATGAGGGCTTTCCTTGAACTGCTTCCGTATCGAGCAGAACTGTGTACCTTCTCTTGTTCACGGTGCTGATGACACAGGACATAAAAGACCGCATAAATTAATTTCAATGAAAAATGCAAATTTGTACACACACACGAGAACTTTTAGGAAGGACAAATCAAACGAAATGGGTGCTCACAGGTTCAAAAGTTAAAAGTCATTGCTTTTTGAACCCATGCGAGTAGAATAGAATCAAAGCTATCACCATCCAAAAATCAGAAAAAAAGCATCGTGCAACTTCGACCTCCACCCCAAACAGAACTCTCGTTTTTCATAAATACTCTCCCCCCCCCCCCCCCCAAAAAAAAATTGTTATTGCTCTTAAGAGTTTATGTCTATTCTTTTAACAAATTTCCATTTCATCGCCATTTCCGATTTTTAAATCAAAGGATTGATGGAAGATCCATGATTTGCCCTATGATTGGTGGTTCACAACTATATCACGCTACTAAAGATCCTGGAATGCATTATCATGCATCATGCTCCGCAAGCATCCATACAGACTAGATAGCCAGGTCAATAAAACTTCCCATAGGAAAATTTCAGATGAAGATTCATCTTTTCTACTTGGGAAAAAAGGACAAGAAAATTACCATATCCTTATGTTGCTGTACATCCTCAAACATCCTTTGCCTAGTTTGATCACCCCGAGGACTAGAGCTTGGGGGGTTTCTCCTGGAGAATGCTTCAACAGTGCCAGAGAATTTCTCTCGAGGATCTTTCCCAACTGAAAGATGCAATTGCAGGAGCAAGGATATTATGCAATTCACATTTCAGAAGATATAAAGTACTTTCATGAAAGAGATGAACAGAAAGACAAGATAATTTAATGCATTCAGATAATATTCTTTGAGCAAGCCAAAAATAACTCAGAATTCCACCACACGCATGAATAAACTCAATAAGATATACTAGGATAAGAATTTCAAGGTCATATTTGACTCAGCAGACCTGACATCTTTTCCGGCTTTTGCACAGATGGTCCTGCATTCATAGCTGCTTTGCCACTGCCGTGCTGATGGAGCAACAACTACAGTGAGAGACCTATGGGGGAAAAAAATCCATGCATGCAACATATTAAAGTACCAACCCGTCCTCTAGAGCTAGAACCAATCTGTGGATATTTCAATATGGTCCAATCGAAAACATAGTCAAACTGATAGCCTGCAGCGACAAAGTCAAGCATTTTTCAGTACTTGACTGCACAAAATATTCCAGCAGAATATACTAAGAAGTACCCAAATTAGAATCAGATACAAGGGTAAAAGACCTTCTCGAATAAATAAGTCTCGAAAAAGTCTCTTTAAATACGAATAATCTGGCTTGTCCTCAAAACGCAATGATCGGCAATAGTGGAAGTAAGATCCAAACTCAGATGGGTATGATTTACAGAGAACCTGTAGACAAATGCAAATAAATTACCAACATAGCAATGGAACAACGAGACCATTAAAATTCAGAAAAGTGACAAGAGAGAAGAGGGGAAAATGTACATGTAATGCTCGAATGAATGCAATGGAATATAGGATGAAAACTTAATCAAAGTGAAAATCAACCAGAGAGACCATTCAGGTGATCTAAGTAAACAGTAGACAGTCAAAATTAAACATGGTTCAAATACATAAGATACATAAGGTGTGCTGGTATTCACATGCAAAGGCAAAAGTTATTTCACGAGACGGATGACCCTCAAAGCCTGGCCTGTCTTTGCGACTACCAGGGCATCATAGGTCCTCCTAGGGCTGAGGAAAAGTTTATGTAGTGAAGACAAATTGACAATCGAAATAAAATATCTAATTGAACTAATCCCACTTTAAAAGATTAAATTAAGATTGGGAAAGATGTAGATAATTCAGTCTATCCTCAACCTTCAAGCAAATTACCATCTGATTTTAATTTTAACAATTAATCTGCTTAAAATTTAAGTGAGGGAAATTAGTCAACATCCAACCTGGTTCAAAACTCTAGTTCTAGAGGAAAATAAAATTTCACAAGTCTAGAGCAAACAGACACAGATCCAACTAGTCACGATACCTCTATAGGAGTTGATGCCTTCTTCTCACTAATCTTATCATATTTTGTTTTTTTCGTGCCAGCCTTGAGTCCCTGCCAAGGAAGACTAAAGGAAAAAAAAAAGACTTAAGAAAGCAGATAGTAAGATATTGTAATTAAATCCAAGATCCAGTAGGAATGGTACATGAGCCCAACCTTCCTCTTAAGAAGTACATGAGAACATAACCAAGAGATTCCAGATCATCCCTTCTGCTTTGTTCTTCCCGTAAAGTAAAAATTAATATACGTAAGTCATAATTATCCAGAAATTCAGTTGCAGCATTGGTAGTCAATGCAAAAAAGGAAAAAGAAAAATCAGCGAAAGATATCACTCACCAATTCCAAGATGAGTGTTCACACTTGCATAGCGAGCTGTGCCAGTGAGGTTCTTGTTTTCCCTTCACAATAAAAACATCAGTTTCAATGAAGAGGAAAAACAAATTCTAGTGCAAATTTTATGGGGAATACATAACATGGTTTTTGAACTAAAACAAAAAATACTGAAAGGAAAGAACCTCATAGTGAGCTGTGGGAAGGCACCAGAATAAAAATGTTGAGAAGAATAGACACTCAAAATAAAGCAATCAAGGAGGATTTGGATTAAAAGCCCAGAGCCAATATAGGGCTAGGGAGTTTAAGGTCTGAAAGAATCTTTAGAAGTTACATTGAGCGAGAATCTTGACTAAAAACGATCCTAGAGTCTGGAGAATCTCCACACAACACAAGCATATTATCATAAGCTTTCATCACGTCCTTCCCACAGCCATTTATGCAACCAGAATGTAGCCAACACGCTAACTGACACAACAACGCAAAGACTAGCCATAAATGAACGTAACTGACACAAATGAACATAAAAGGCGCAAAAAACTAAGCATGATTTGGTCCCACAAATAAAAAGCTAGGCATAATGGCAGATGTGGCAATCACGGAGACTCTTTAAACAGTCTCCTCATTAACCCCCCCCCCCCAATTTGACACCCCATTGCTGATCGTTTCAGAGCTGTCCAGCATGCTGCCACAAGCTTCCTTCTCCTTAGATGTCAACTTAGAAACTGATTTTGCTCCACCATGGCCTTCGAAGGGTACAGTTTGAAACTTACAACATTTGAGGTTCATCAAAAATGTGTGCGCGCTTCATAAGACACTGCACAACCGCTTGCTTATTTCATACAAACACTACCATCATAAACTCTATATTAAGATTAAATTAAATTGATGTTAAAATCTCATGACTCCATAATTTTTGTTGATTATAGAGTTGATTATTTGATTGATATTACTCATGTTATATGTTAGTATCAATGAGAAAAGGTATAATGATCGATTCAAATTATGTATGTGGTTGTTGGTAAAAACGATCAAAATTAGTTACCTAAACCTTTTTTTTCAGCCAACAATTGCCCGAACTTAGGAAGACACATACATACATACATGCACATGCATGCTCGCATTTGCTCACTCAAACCAGTACACCTTAGTACCTTGTAATAAGCAAGACAAAGTTTACCTGTATGGTATGTGCTTATGAGTATGAAGATCCCTATACTTCTTTGCAAGGCCATAGTCAATTATGTACACCTGAAATTAGGTACACAACAAGATTCCAAGATAGTTAGTAGATGTAATATTTGCGCATGTATCTAAATCTCCTTATCAGAATCTAAGGATCCATTTAATTTCATTTTAGTTTTCGTTGTCCTACAATAGAAAATAAAAGGAAGAAATATATTAAAGAAGATTCTCCAAGAACATCTAAAAGATACGAGAGAAGAAATACATTAGTGATGAGAACCGAGTGACAATGACCAACAGCCACGCTAAAGCAGTCTTTCACAGGGTTTTTATCCCATAATTAGGTCGAGTAAGAGCTACTTGTTACGGATTAGGGATTAGGGACTAAATGTAATATGTTTGGCTACTGGATAGTGATCCCCTATTTTGTCTAGCTCTTCCGTCTCTCTTCCTCTCTTCTGTATTCTCTCTTCTTCTCCAATTCCATTCTTCTTCTTCCTCTTTCCCAATCTCATTTCTTTCTACGGTAATGTAATAGATTATATCTTCCCGGCTTGTTTTCACCTCTATGAAGACCAACGAATATTCCTTCCCCACAATTCTAACATCAGATTCTCCTCTAGTAATTTTCTCTTATTGGTAAATCAAGAAAAAAAAGAAGGAAAAAGAACCAATCAAAAAGAGGAACTGCTACCAATTAGGATATATTATACTCCCTCCGGTACAAAATATAAGCTAAACTTTGTTGGAAGGGCTTGGATTTTTTTTTAATAAGATAACATTTACTTTTGTCTAAGCATTTAATGAGTTTTTTCCAATTTTACTCTTATATATTCTCTTTCCTTTTTGATTCATTTAGTGCATCTTTTACTTATTCTCTTCATTAATAAGGGTATATTTGAGGAAAAAATACATACCTTACATATTTATTGTTTTAAAATGATATTAACTAATTTCTTAATAAACATAAATGGGTAAAGTTTATCTTATATTTCAAACCTGGGAGAGTAGTTAACATATTTTAATTCCAATCAACCAACCATATGTATTCATCAAATGCAAATTACTACAATGCGTGATTCCTTTTCATTCATATTTCATAAGTAAATCATCATAACAACAATTAAAATCTTTTGCCTAGTGTGAGGACCGACGCAAAAGAAAGAAAGAACTAGAAAGCAAGCTTCTTAACAAAAATAACATACCTGGTTTGCTTTACGTCCTAGGCCCATAAGAAAATTGTCAGGCTTTAAATCACGGTGAAGAAAACCTCTTGAATGCATATATTCAACTCTGTTAATCTGAAAATAAACAATAATATGAAGTAAAATTTAAATGATGATGTTACTATTTAAGAACACTAGGTGCACAATTGCCGACTAGACTTACTAATTGATCAGCAAGCATTAACACAGTCTTCAATGTGAATTTCCGATTGCAATAGTTGAACAAATCTTCCAGACTTGGTCCAAGAAGGTCAATAACCATAACATTATAGTCTCCCTCGGCTCCGAACCATTTGATGTGGGGAATCCCCGCTTCATTAAGGAAGAACCATACTAGATTATTCAAAGGAAAAACCCAAGTTGTTTACTGAAAATTTTCCCTTTATTATTTTTCTTCAAACACAGGGTTTAGATGATTCTGAATCTGATTTCATCAACAGAAGTTTCTAGAGTCTAGACATCAATCAGATTAAACTCCAGATTTAAAAAGAAAAAAAAACTTTTTTTAGAAAAAATTGCGTTCAGCATAGAGAATACTGAAAAGGGATTCCCTTCAAGCTTGTATCATCAAACGCTTCGAAAGGCCCAGTGTTCCAGACTTACTTCCTCCTTGAAGAAGCATATACAATTTTGACTCGTAGAAAAGTTGAGGATGCCTGGTCTTCACAGGTTCCTGAAATTTTTTGAAGGAGAAAGAGGCAGTCAAGAACTAGCAGCAGATCAATTCGTGACACATGGATATACTGATGCTATTAACAGATATAAGAATTTTCTTCTCTTGTAAAACAACAAAAGGAAAGATATGACAAAGACTGTAGACAAGATAAAGAGAAGACACAATGTAGCATTTTGCATGTTACTTCAATCTTTATTGAGATCTCACTGATTTCTTATAAAACTTCTGTGCAATCCAACTAGTGGAGAGAGAGGTTTCATTTCTTTATGAATATAGAAATGAACCATATCTCCAAATTTCGTGGAATGTTTCAGACGGACCATAAATGCGATGGTTGAAAAATGAAGATGCACTTTACTAACCCTAGCGCCAATGTTAAAGCGTCTAAATATAGCACAACAGATATCCACTGGACATGGTATAACATAGAGAACAAACATAAATGCGAGGTTCAACAAATTAAAATAACGGTGATCTTGATCATATGCACACACATTCAAGATAGCCAAAATTAGCACATTCGTAAAGAAAACTAGTAACCAGTCTCTGGAAATTCATAACAGACTCCACCATGAAAGCATTTTTCCCCATCAAGTCACATAAAAGGTAAAACTTGACGTACCAGCTTAACGGCTACCTCCTCTCCATTTTGCACATTTACGCCTGGAATATGTTTAAAGCGATATAAGAACACAAAAATAAGTTGCAATCTAACAAAAATGAAATATTAATACCTAAATAAAGCTCCCCAAAAGAACCACTCCCAATTTTCCTTCCCAGTTTGAACTTCCCACCAACCAAATGATCCATGACAAAATGATGCCTTCAATGCAGCTTCCCCGCAGCCAGCAAACGTAATGGAATTTTCCGCTCAAATTCGTTCCGAAATCAACACGTAATTGTACACAACCGCATGTAGAGCAACCCTCACTCTCATTGTCCCCGGATTCGCCGAATTAATTGATTATGCAGTCAAAATTCGTTGCTTTCTTATAAATTCCATCAAAATCCCAAGAGATTTCCCAATCTAATCATCCAAATAGCAGTAAATTGAATTATGGCGTAAATCCAGAATAAGAGAAAATCGAAATGAACCGAGTTTATCAAAATTTCAACATCCTCCAGCAATGGGGATGAAATCTTTATTCATGATAGAACACGGCCTTCTCCTACATTCTGCACCGCACACAACGCAAATCAATCAGCCCAGGCCACGGACTGAAGCCCTAACTTGCAGAAAACAGGAGCGCATTGACCCAATAAAATAAAATGCAGAGGGTAGCACAAATTCTTGAAGAAACGGAATAAAAAGACGAGATTGTGGAGCCTGTGCGCGATCACATAGGAAGAGAATTTAATAGTTCGACAAAACAATAGTTGAGAGATGGACAGAACACGGAAACTGACGGGAAGAGAGAGAAAGACGGAGATGGGGAACTGAGAAGCCAACAGCACGTAGGAGATTTTTCATAATAATAATAATAATAATAATCGCTGTTTTTCTGAGGTAATTTTTGAAATTTTCCTTTTTCTTAGTTGTTATTTTTCGTACGAATTTCTCCAATTTTTAACCGCTTAGTGCCGGGAAATTAAACTCCCAATTCCAAATAAGTACATAAATCTTTCAATTTTAACGACCGAGATACGAATACGACGGATTAACCAATATCCTCTCTCCGTGCCACTCACGTTTGGGCTGTCCAAGTGTTTTCTGGAAGAAATATTTTGTGCATTTAATTTATCATCACATTTTTAGTCATTTTAAGAACAATTTTTTCAGTAGAAAACAAGTTATGATTCATATTTTTTTGGCCAAAATTATGATTCACAGAGATAAAGGAATAGAAGACAAATAAAAATATCTTATTGTGGATTTATTGCATCGCAATAGCGTCGCATCATCTTGTGGCTTCCAGCAAGTCTCTCTAGTCTCGTTTCATTTTTACTGTAAGGGCGAGTTACTGTCATGGCCCAATTGTGAAGACTTGGGCTCCAATGGCCCAATTCTAAAAGCCGTTGCAGTGTAGAGAGCCTTAATGTTAAATTGTTTTTTGTGATAAATATAAGATCAGTTTTAAAAAAAAAGACCAATTTTTAGTATAGTTTTATAATATAAAATAAGTCTTATATTTAAGATTAAAGGAGTATTATTTAACATTTATCCTATAAGGCTACATCGTATTTTTATACATTTGATAATTTATTGAAAATTTTGGGGAAAATAATTTACTTCATGATAAATAAAACACTATAATTTCTAAAAAATAATAATAATGGCCTTTGCCTCGCAGGCATGGCCATTTTGATTAGGAAATTTAAAAAAATAAAAAAGTAAAGCAGACGATTTTATGATTAAAGAGGGCAATGATGTGCGAAATAAGAGGGAAAACGTGGGATCCATTATTGCAATTTACAAATTAGCCAAGACATGACCCCATCCCGCAATTAATGCTGCGTCCCCATCACGTAATAATGAAGACTTTCATGAATGTCCCCCGTTTATTGATTTGCACGAATATATATGAATATATACATATAAATATTTCCTTGAATTGAAAACATGCATACCTCTCAAAAACAAAAAATAGTAACTTCAGTTAGCAAATTAATGGGGTGTTTAGATGGAACTAAAACTATAGTTTTAAAAGTGTCTTCATAGAATGCATGAAATAAATATATAGAGAAATTTATCTTGTTTAGAAGAAAAATACTTCTAACAAACACTTTTGAGTGTTTCCAAACACCTCCTTAAATCTTACATTTTAGAATAGGAGGTGGTGGTACTAGACTTACAAATTATAACTATAAATTCTCAGACTGTGTTAATTCACGAAAAAGTTTTTTTTTCCAAGTTATTATAAGAACTTCGGCCAAGAATTTACAGAAACACATGGAAGTTAAGACATATGCATGCTCCCGTGTTCAATGACTTTTTATATGGGAATACTTACAAATCATGTATTAATAAGATTCTCACATTAAAGATAAATCTACTTATGAATATGATTTTATGGATTAGGGATCAAGAACACAAATTGTTAGAAAAAAAGGTAGTGAGGGGAGGTTTGGTGGTGGGAAGACATGGATGTGGTTTCGTAGGAGCTTTTAGAGACAGATGGGGCCAAATGGTGATACACTGAGATTTAGATATAGCAACTTTGACGCAGAGCTGATCCCAATATATATGAATGTCATCAATAATTAAGCTCACCAGAATAATTAATATGCCACGTACGCCCTCCACTACTCGTCCAGCATCGTCCAGCATCATCACGTCCATCTAAGACAAACATATCAACAACCCCAACCCCCAGAAGAGAGAGGGGAAAACTTGAAACTAATATCTGTTGGGTCGAGAGTGTAAATGCCAAGACCCTCACAATAAATGTGTTTGCTGATATTCAAACTCATTACAAGGTGACATCGCTTACTATCTCAACTAACAGTTATCATTATTGTTTCTAACATTCATTAAAAAAAAACTAAGCTTTAATTTATATGTGGAAATATATGGGTTTTAGGAATGAGGTTTAGTTTAATTTGTTGTGTAATAACATCATAATCAGGAATTAGTTATGGTGTTTTTTATTTTGATGAGCACCCTAAACTGATAAGGTTAATTGGATCCATTGTGGGAGCAATATAGCATTTAAATATTACTTCTTCAGTCCTTAATATAAGACCCATTTAACTAATTTGATTAGATTAAGAAGTTAGTAAGTTAGTTAATTATAAAAAAAGTGACACATTTTTCCTAAAACACCATAATCATCTTTCTTAATACCCCATCTCCCTTTTTACTTAATTATGGTTGAGGGAGTATCCATATGGGTAATTTAGAGAAAACTGATAAATATGAAATATGGGTCTTATATTTAGAACCAAAACTAACTCAAGAATTAGGTCTTATATTAAGGACTAGAGGAGTATTACTGATGGTTATAATGTGATTGGTCATGTGCACGGGAGCATCCAAAGATTGAGACAAGCGGAAGAATCTCATCAAGAAGATTCCATTCCCATTTATATCTTTTTAACTCCAGAAAAGGGGGAGAAGGGGAAAAAACGAACGAACTGATTGAAGATTAGTCTCCATGAATCCAACACCTTTTCTTCCTTTACACAGAAAAAAGGAAAAGCACACAAGACTGAGAGAAATAAATCATGCATCGTCAAACGAAAAGGCAACCCACAAGACAAGTTTATATAGTGTCCACCATAGCCAACAAGTAATTTCCATTATTTCCCACTACTCGTCACAATCATATACAAAAAGGCATATTGAAGAATTTCCAGCTTTTTCAGTAACCTACCTATAGGTCATTATTGGAATAACATGTCCATGCAGAAGCAGTATACAAACTAGTGTTCTTCCATCCAAGTTTGAGTGTGCCATCAACATGAGCAAGCGTATAGCCATGGCCATGAGAAGCTGAGAACATGTTCAATATCAGTTGAGCTTGAGCCATAGAATTAGGGCTCATCGGAACCTGCACAAAACAATGCCTCGCAAGCTCACTTCTCCATTGTCTATGCTTGTCTTCTCCACTTCTTGCTGGTCCTCCTATGGCCAATATGTTATTTATCTCTTTAGACAGAAGGTCGTGTTCGACCCTGTGCCTGTTAGGATCCTCACTGGCCATATAAGCTCCAAGAGAATCGAACACAGTAGAGTAATAGTGTAAAGACCCAACAAAACGATCCAAGAACGACCCGCCGCTTGAAATATCTTGTTCCACCAGGGTTATGATTCTTGGCTCTAATTCTTCAAGAAGCCTCAGGGTTTTCCAGTCTGGTCCTGTTGCGTCGTACAGTGAGTGTTGTAGCCAGTGAATGGCCAGTGTCTCGCCGGGTCTTACTTGCACCATGGAGACATCCTCGATTTCCCCGAACTTTTTCGCGATTGGTTGGAAATGAAACGACATTCCAAGCCTTTTAGCGAAGTTCGTGAGTTGTTTGCCTGTCTCAACGAGGAGGTCCATCGAAGCTCCCATGCCTGTCATTCGAACTCGTGGTCGGCCCTCCATTCGCGTGGCGAGGATGTGGAAGAAGGCTGGCCATTGAAGACCCTGCATAATGTCTAAGTCTATAATATGAATATTATCACAGCAATGCACTGCTTCGAGAATTGCTTGATTTGAAGTGAAATGAGCGAATTTGATGAAAGGCGAAACGTTGTTGAACACTTGGAATGAAGAGTGAATGCTCCTATGATCAATCAGAGGGGAAAATACTCCGAGCATCGAGTTCATTACTCTGCTAGACATGGCTTTAGCAAAGTAGGCAACAATACGCTCTGCACAGGATGGCTTGTAAGGTGAGACCACTTGGGTAGCTCAAGCAACACCCTGTGTGCTTCACTGAGGTTATCCACTGAGATCGCTACTGCACACTCCATTAGAAGTGTTAAAAGGTGCAACCCACCATCATTGTTTTGGTCGTGATGATCTACTGGATTTGTTTGAATTTGAATTTGCAGGTCGTTGTTGATGAAGGGACCTTTTCTAGGGTACGTAACAGGTGAAACTACTGTGCCTACGAGGTTGTCCTGAGAATACGACCTTGTTTGGTGATGGTTATTATAAGGAAGAAAGTTATGATCAGATGTGGTTTCAGCTGGCAAGTCGTCCACAAGGTGTTTGGTAATATGCTCCACCCAATCTGAAAACTCGTTTGTTGCCAAGTTTACAGTATTGTGAGTGGTAGTGTCAATGGGTGGTGGCTTTGAAAATTGGATCGATGATGATGTTGCAGCTGATGAAGACAGCCCAACATTATTCGGGTAGTCCCAAGATTCATGCATATGATGTGGTCTGATCATGTTGAAATCGCCATGAATCACCTCAAATCCCGCTTTCATCACAGAGGTTCATCGATCAAAAGAAAGAAAGAGAGAAAGGAAGAGAGAGGGTTTAGCGCAGAGGAAGATGTTACTTATATAAAGGAAGAAGGCGATGATGACTTAAAATTAAAAAATACTACTTTCAGTCCTAATTATAAGATCTTGTTTGCAGTATACAAACGAGGTCCTATAAATAGAACAGGAAGTAGTAAAATAAAATCTGGGGATTTTGAGCTCAAGGGAAGAAGGCCGGCATAGTCAAGACATCTGGAAAAAGATGAGGAACTAGGAGCTAAGTATTACATGTTGGTTTAATAGTGATTTATGATATAAATAATTGTTAATGAATGATTTTTCAAGTGTACGTTCGTCACATGAACATCAAGTTTTGAGGGGTGATACAAAACTTGTGTTTATTATAAGAAGAGGGACTTTTTTGTCTTGTCTTGACTATATATGGCGATGGGGAAGGAGCAACTACCACTATATCATAATATAATAATGATAATTAATAGTATGATGCCAATAATTAAAAACTGATTGATGGGGAAATCGTTGCTTTTAATCACACATGAAATCTATATGTTAATGCTCTGTGACTATGCATCCAACAGGGAACTTCAATAATTTAAATTTCCAGGTCATGGATTACGTTATGGTGAGGATATATAAGGCCGGCATATGTTTTTTGACAATGGGAGTTATTCACGTGTATTGTGAAATTTAAACTTTATTTTTCTCAATTCAGCTCTTCTTCGGTACAGCTCTCACCTGCAATTAAGGGGAGTATTTGGAAAACTATAAAAATGCTTTTAGAAATCATTTTTCTGTAAATTTTACAAACTCCTCTATATATTTACTTCGTATATCATAAAATCACTTTTAAGACTATGGTTTTATTTTTACCCAAACACCTCCTAAATTTTAACACCGTTGAGGAGGTCTTTACACTCACAGGAGATTGAGAAGTTTCCAAGATAATAGTTATTGAATTTTTAATATGGAAACAAACGTATAACATAAATATATCTGGCTAGTATATTTTTAAAAGGGAGAATCCACATAAAAAAACTTGAAATCACCAAATCCTAAATTAGATTCAGTAACAGTACTTTAATAAGTTTTGATAATACTGGACTTATAAATAATAACACATTTTTATAAAAATTCTTTATTTTAAGATTTAGTAATTTGAGACTTTTTTTAGTGAGATTCTCCCTTTTTCATAAATATATAGGGCAAGACATGAATAGATTGAAATATGTTACTCTTGTTTATCTGTCCTGCTGCTTTAATTTAGTACTTACTTGACCTCCAACTGAAATTATTCACAATATTTTTAATACCTAGTTGATGCAGGAAAAATTATTAATCTATAGACTCAAATACCTAATTAACGGCAGCCGGTAATTACACCCTACATTATACATATAGATGTTATTAAATAATCCTGTAGTTTTGACAGTTATTTAATTATTATTATATCTGTAAGCTGTAATGCAAATACCTATCCAATACATTTAATAAGTCAAATCGATGTTTGTTTTGCCGCGAGTAATATATTAATTAAGTTGTTAAACACCTTTTTACTTGAAAGAGATGTCTCCCATGTAATTTATTCTGGTTAATGGTGGCATACATAGAAACCCTCCAAATGCCTTCAGTACCAAGCCACAACGACAGTTCGATATATAAAACTCAATCATTACTGTCAAAGTTAAATTACTTACACACAATCATTAAATATTTTGTTTATTATACAGATTAGGAGGTTTAAACAACTCAAATAGCAGAACGTTCATATCAATATGACTATTTAAAGTTTAGCTCTTTGAACAGGTTAGGTTTTAAGCGTGTGTGTGTGTTTTCATATACTATAAGGATTAAGGAAATTATTTGCATAACAACGAAAATTCGGGAAAAAATTATTGTCATGACGCATTATATTCATCAATAAAATAATTATTAACAGACGGATTAAATTATTTTCCTCAGTGTAATTAACCCCGTAAGCTAGCCGACAGATAATACGCAGAGGTCAATTGTGGGTCAGGCGTGATCCGTTTCCCTGCTCACACGATACAGGACGCCGACAGGTAATAAAATGTTTTCTTTTGATTTTTTTTTTTTTTTTTTTTACAAGGCAAGAAAAACTTGATAAACGTCCATGGCAGTCAACTAAAGCCATGTCATCATGCAATCGGTTTAGACATGAGAGCTTGAACACTCGACTTCCGGAAATAAAATGCTTTTTAAATGGGGAAGATATTATTATTTTTGTTCGTAATATAAAATTTGGTTAAAAATTGTATTTGATTCTAAAAAATATAAAATTTCAATTTATTGTATTTTCAAATTCATATCTCAGGCAAGTGACAGTTCTAATACATTTAGGATTAAATATGATAGTTTAAGAAAGTCAATACATATTTATTATAAGTAATCAACTTAACTAATTTTATGAATCTTTTTAAATTAGTTATATACTAGTAGCTCTTAATACTTATTTTTTAATTTAAGAGAGCAATCAGCCGAATGGAAAGGAATCCAAGACAGTGCTAGGCTGCTAGCTCGGAGCATCAGAATATTCCATGAGAATCATGTAATACTATCACTTTTGCAGTCTTCATGATCAACGTCAAGCAAACGTCACCCGCAAAAGCCCTCTCTGCTTTGCCTGCTCTTGTTTTAACTTGTAACTCTTTTACAAGACTAATATCACACTGGAGAAAATGACTCTGGAATTCAGAAAATGATTCGACTTTCTGCTCCTAATAAAGTATTGGGTCAACGTAAGAACCTTCTAATTAGTGATTGCGCAGCACAGCAAATTATTTATAAGCGAATGGATCAAACAGGGCACAAACGGACTAATATGATCACAAGTGTCACCTAAATAGCATTCCAATCCGCACTGGGCAAAGCCAATAGTAGCTAAACTTCATATAAGCGAGACAAAACGCCCTTCTAGAAATCATCAAAAGAAGAAATTTATATTGCATACATGCAAGTAATGTAGTTGAATAAAATATTACTACTAACTACGTGCATGAATATCAATCACATATCATGCCACAAAACTAAGCTCTTTTGATCAAAAACATTGTTCGACAAGCATGCTTTGTTTTTCAGAAAACTTTATAAATTAATAAATAAGACTAGTCATGAATATAGTTTACTAAGTTATGTATCACAAGCCAAGTCAATCTAATAATTTGACAAATTCAGCGCGAGTCTTTCTTTGTTTTTTGTTGTTGAGCCTCTAATTCAACATGGGTTGAAGAGATCAGGTCAATCTGCTCCCACGCGAAACTCACTAGACAGGGCACTCAGCACTTTCTTCTTCTTGCCTTCGCTCGATCTGCCCTGCCATATAACTATTAATGTACGTAGCCAGAACACGTGCGTCCAAGCACAAAACAGCTTGAAAAAAGTTGTATCAATGGAGAGTCAAAATGCTGTTAAATTACTTGGCTTGAGTTTGTGGCTGTCTGACTGGATGCATCAAAAAGATTGTTTGGTTAGGGGGAGGAACACTTCTTGCCACGATATGAACTCTAAATGGGGTAGGAAGACCTTCTAACCTTAAGCAGAGTCATTGCTCGCAGAAGCCTCGGAGGCTTCTGATGTTTCAGCTATCTCGCCATCTATCACATATGCCAATCCCGTTTAGCATACTTTCAAACGAAGGAGTTACAAATATTATATAAATGATATAAAATGGTTAAAAAAAAAAAAAAAAAAAGAGCTACGGGCTTACCAAAAAGTGACTTGACGGATGGCCTCTTAGCTTTGGAGGTTTTCTTTTTCAATTCAGCTGCAAGAGCACAGAGAAAAATCAGCATGACTGTGACTATAAAACTGAACACCTTTAGATTTAACCCACGATATAATCTGCACATCCACATAAAAAATCAGGATTTGAATTTTCAACATGTCCCGCCAGTTTAGGTTCTACGCTACCCCGTTGCCAAGACAAGCTACCTCATCGATGTGAACCAAAAATTTGATATTTTGGTCGACAATCTATTTTGGAAATCTGAAAAGGGAAAGATTATATAAAGGAAATGCAAGATTGGTCTACACAGTGGCAATGTCTGAAAATTAAGCTATTGATTCATCTTTTGCAAACAAATTTCTCAGTACTTAGGACAAAACGCCCTACTAAATAAGACATACCTATCAGACATGCATAATAATTAAAACCATAGCCAAATTATGGCCCCATAGAGAAGATTATCAATAATAAACTAATACACTATAAGAGAGGAAAAGAGGTGTACCCATTCCGGGAACTTGATAGTCGTTGACAATTTCAAAGTTCTTATACGTGTATCCAACAAAATTTACGTCTTTAGATGAAAGCATCTGTAAAAAAATGAGGAGTAAAAAGAAGGGTTGGGCAGGGAAATAGCTGCAACAGACTGAAAACTTGAATATAAAAATTTGTATCACATCGAGCTATAGGAGGATATAACCTAAGCTAAAATGATCATCATAGACATTGGCTTATTAGGACTACCAAAAACTGGAACTTAAAATACAATGTGTCTTCTTGAGCAGACAACTTTTCACTAAAGAGTATACGGGACATCCCTTTCTTCCAGAAGCAAATGTTAACAACCGTAAGTCATGGAAGCAAATGCTCAACCTAGCATTAAGTATTCCCATAATCAAACTAGCAAAAGCTCGCAAGCAACCTTCAAGAAAATATGCGTTACAATCCAAAGTCTCAGCAATTACAATCTTAACCTTTGGACATAGTCCATATCATGAAACCGAAGAAGGGACTGCCTGTTATAACACTTAACAGGCGATTTTCAATACCAATATTTGCCTTAAAGTGGAAAGAACAAATGAAATTTTAAATTTGGGAATTCCAAACAAGCTTGCTAGCCTGTGGCAGATGGGGTACTGCCATTGTCCTGCCTTCGACAAATAGTCCCTTAAGTCTTATCTATCCAACTTTTCCATGTAAAACACATCCTAAAATGCAAGTTAAAAAGAAAAATGCTTTCCAGAAAAGCAGAACTGCGCAAGAATTGACAGGTAAGTGATTCAAACAATGGTCTGCAATTGATTTTCCTTGTTCCTCCTTATCTTGCCAAAAGGGCCTTCCAAAAGAATAGAAACAATATATTGCTTTATGAACATATCAGCAAACAGAAAGTTTTATGCTGAGGCAAGATCTGAAGGTTGATAAAAAATTTGGAGCAGCGAAGCAACCAACAGAAATTACCTTCCTCCATGGACCACTTCTAGAGGATGGTTGACTGCAGCTGTCGGACTGCAGATGTAAAAGGTACAATTTGTATAATGAATCACATTGACGGCTTCAGACTGTACCATCCAAAATAAGTAAGAATATGGAGCAATAAAATACCTCATCAAACTTCTCAAAATTTTGAGTATCTAAGTCATCGTTAACCTCAGGAATAAATGCAGCTTCCATTTGGTATAGCTTATCCCATTCAATACCTTTGAAAAATGGATGAGCCTGAAGAAGAGCAGAACAGGAAATTAACCTTTATATCAATCTATAAAACGGAACAAATCTAAGAATTTAGAATAGGACACACCATACAACACCTTTATTTCACCTGCACCTTTTGATCCCAGCCTCTGATTCACATTACACAATAGTTTACTGATCAAATCTTTAGCTTCAGGAGAAAGCATTGCCTCTTCAGGAAATTTCAAGTGAGTTTTCCAGTTTACTATCTGTGTGAAACAGGCAGATCAGGTAAAATAGCATTCACTAAATTTTTTTGAAGAACTTATAAACTGTTCAAATAGAAAAGTCAAAATGCACACAAAACTCAGTAAAACATTATATAGGGCAGAAAAGTTGCTGATGCAAGGAGGGAAAGACTCAAATGAGATCACTAGCTTTGACTTGTACTTTAAATCTCAATAACATTCCATATCTTCAAAGTCCCACCCAGTACAACCTTTAGCAAACAAGGCACAGTAGTCTAGCCCTGTGAGGACATAGGTTTCATTCCCTAGGATTTAAAGCATTAATCTGTTCATTAAATCAGTGGCTTAGACTCATCTTACACAATATGAATCATGTTAACTAGCCAATCCATGATAAAGCCAAACCCCAAGCAGTCTGTATAAGAAAATTAAGAACTTCATGAATAAATTATGCTGAAGGGAGACATACGATGATGATAGACAGTTCATAAGCTAATATGACAAGAATAAATACTCCACCCATGTCTCTACTGACCATAAGTTGAAATGGTTCACAAATTGATTATATCTAATCCAGAAAGAAAAGTTGAATAAACTATAAGACAAAACATTCCAATAATTTGTTATCATTTAAAGCAAAGATATTAACCAGAACTTATCAATGACAAACATCCTAGTGATCCAGTAGACATTAGGGCAAAAATTGAAGAAAACTACAAAAGACAGCAACAAATAGTAGATATTTATTACCTTTCTGCACGTTGTCATTGGATCATCAGAATAAAAAGGAGGATATCCTACTAACATTTCGTACATAATAGCTCCAAGAGACCACCTGTGAATTTTACAAGAACCAGATCTGTGTCAGTTTTTTACCTCTAAACTTATAATATTTTTCCATTCGATCATCAAATGAATCAAATAAAGGAGAATGTGGTTGAGCCTGTTTTAGTGCTGGCCCTAGCAATTTAGTGATCTCGATCCCTTCTCCAACTTTCTCTTTACCTTTTTTCTTATCACAGGTTACAGAGGAGAAAGAGAAAAACTTGACAAAATGTGTCTGATAGGAACCCCCCAACCAGTTAGCACGACACATATACCACACAAAGGAAGGCAAAACGCAAAATAGCTGAGTACAGATATTATGCTATGTAATAAAGCTTACAAGACACCCACTGCAAGTCAGTCTCTCCCATTGAATCACATAACCAAGAGTACCCACTCAAGTACCTTACTGAGCAAACAAACACTAGGGGAACAACTAAATACAACCTTGTAACTTTAAAAAAAGGAAAAGAGGACTTTTCAGAGTTTGGCCCTCTTGACAGAAAATTGACCAATATTTCCCTTACTCCCTTAGGTTTCCGTTTAGATCTCCTATCAAATACTGTTTTAAATGCTCCCTCCTACCCCTTTATCACTACTCCTTTCTTTTTCTCTTTTATTTTCCCCTCTTAACCAGTTCCTAATCCCTGAGCTTTTCTTTCTGCACATAATTTACCCTTTTCTGCCCTCCGTCACTCGCTTATACCTTGGCCGTGCATAGTAGCATTAGCAGCGGGTTGGACCTGATGGACATAATGGGCTGTGGAGTAAAACTCACGCTGTAAGGGACAAGTCCTTCATCGCTTAAAGTTGGAATAAAGGGAAATCAGCACAAGAAGTCAAGGGTAATAACCTGGAAACTGTAGGACAAACTAGGGAGGATCAGTGGCTAATGCTGGCTTGTCAGGGGATTAAGAATCGGTATTGGGGGACATTCCAGGGTACAATTCATTATTAAAATAAGTGGAGAGGCATCGTCTCTCGAAAACCAAAGTAGAGAGGCACTGTGTCACTTTTTTGCCCCTTTTACTGCTCCATAGCTGTTAAGCTCACAATTGGGCAAATCTTCCCTTAACACAGCACTATTTATTGTTTTTAACTAGATACTTTAAAATAACCTTTACTGTCAAACCAAAATTACAAAATTTTGAAAAGATCAACCAGAATTGAACGAAAAGAATTTTAACAAATCAGATGCACGAAACTCACCAATCACATTCCATACCATAACCCTTCTTCAATAGAACTTCTGGAGCAATATAATCTGGCGTACCAACAGTAGAATAAGCCTGCAACACTTACACAGTTACAATGATAAGAGCACAATCAGAGTAAAAAATAATGCGTTTATCTAAAACAGATCGAGGTAGAAATGGATCTTCCTTTTGGTTTGATATGTGCATTATGGGTACTCAAATATTTGACAAACCTGCCGCAGCTAGTATTATAAGCATTTAATTTTACACGCTACATCACAGAGAGTTGACAGCACTTGTAACAATGGAAACTCACTAGTGTCCTCCTGTTCTTTTGCCAGTGTTGTAATTGTTCTTGTTGTGTGCGATTTGAAGATCCATGTTCCTCATTCTGTGCAGAACCATTCACATACTGACCTTCGGCCAAGTCCTCCTCTTGAAGTATGCTGCAATCTAATGGTTTACAAAGTCCAAAATCTGACAGCCTTAAGTGTCCATATCTATCCAATAACAAATTATCAGGCTTAATATCCCTGCAGCATAAGATACTGAAAAGATCAGTGTATAGTCTAAAATTTACTAAAGCTTCTTTATTGCAAACAGAAAAATATACATATAGATAAATCTGACTTCATGTATCAAACAGATAAAGCATGTGATCATTTTAAATTGATGTGAATGGCAACCATAAAAACACTCATAATTCTAACATAAGGTTATGTGAATTTTTTGTTCATACCTATGGATATAATTGTGTTTATGTATAGACTCAATAGCCAAAACTGTTTCGCCTACGTAAAATCTTGTTTCATCCTCAGTCAAGATATCCTTTCTCATAAGTAAAGTCATCATGTCCCCACCCGGCAGATACTCCATTATCAGGTATAGGTAGTCATCATCTTGGAAAGAACAGTAAAGTTTGACTATGCAATTGCTATCAACCTCTGCAAGGAGGTTCCTTTCAGCTCTGACATGTTCTACCTGGAGATATTACCAGCTTCGGAATAAGCATTACAATCTCATCAGCCTTGGACATAAAAACTGTTCTTGACTGAAACAACATAACAGGGCAAGAAAAACAATTGTAAACCTGGCCTCTGCGAAGCATCTCTGATTTCTTTAGTTTTTTCATTGCAAATACATGGCCTGTTGTCTTTTCCCTGCAAACTCTGACCTGCACAAATCTCCATGTTTCAGAGAACAATCGGGTTATCAGCATAAAACAAAAGTTTTTACTCCAAGAATCAAACAATGTGATCAGTAATGAAGAATAAGATGTCACATCCACAAACACAATCATTTATTACATTGATTTCCGACCAAACAAAAGAGAAAAAAAAACAAAAGCTTCTTTTAACATGCGCGCAAGCATGGACACAGAAATAAGGTAAATGTAATTAGGGAAGTCTTATTATTAACAATTGACACCATGGGCTCTTTTTTCCTGCTCGTATTTTTCCTATAAAAAATATCTACTCAAAAAGCAGCTTAATTATTTATGTGAATCTAATGAATCGAGAGTATGTAAGAATCTATATATTTCATAAGACATAAGTAGTAAATAAAAAATTAATTTGATTATATGCTTTAAGCAAATTATTCATATCATACTCCGGCATATACATACCTCTCCAAATGCACCTTTTCCAATCATGGTCAACAATTCAAAATCATCAACACCCATCTTATGCCTCTGAAGCCGCATGTATTCAGTTTCCTTTTTCTCCAGAAACTTGAAAAGGTTGTTTTGGTCTTCCTCAGAGACATCAGCATCGGCCAACTTCTTTTCCAAGATAGTTCGACTGTTTAAAAAAGTTAACCACCTATTACCGCATAACTGATTTGTTTGTGCAGCTAATATTATACACATTAAAAATAATAGAGGCATCTTCAGACCCACTAGATTCATCTACCAGGTTACCACTTACAAGAAAGAGAAGTATGTCCTTTTCCATAGCTATTCTTCCAAAGGTCATACAAATCCTAATGTATGAAATAATAGCAATGACTTAAAGGCAAGAGTTACAGATATAAACAGATCTTAATGTAAGTTGAACATAATGATAGGCACTCTTGTTCTACATAATCATCCAATTTTAACCCAAGATGGCAGCCCAAGCTTGCGAGCCAAAAATAGTACGCTAGATCCAATGAAAAGCATTCGTCTTCATAACCATCGCCAATTGAATTGGAAAATCTCAAATAAACCAGCATCTCAAATTGGAACTTCTTTTGGACTTTGACTAGGGTAATACGCATTACGTGATGTGATAAAGATCAAGTGCTGCGATTAGAAGAAAGTATATAATAGAATAGAACTAAGTTGGAAAAAAAAAATACAAAACATGGAACAGATATTCTTAAAAACTAGCACTCCCAACTGCACCCAAAATTGACGGAGATTTACAACAGCTTTTCTAACTCATTGTTTCTCACAGCTCCCATCTTTACAATGGAGCTAAGTTTCAATAGTTTGCGTTCATTACACTGCAAACAGGTAACTCTATGTAAAAGAAAGTTAACAAATGAGTTCACACGGTCAGCTTCAGGTTAGAATGGGATGCATAATTGACTATATAGAACTCGCAACTGATCTACATACTCTGCTCGAACAACTAAAAATGGATAATATTAAGATTCTAATATTCCTATTTTCAGCAATAATATGCCATCTTAAAGTAAGAGATGGTTACAGCCAGACCTTGAACTCTTTTACAAGTTTTTTCCCTCCTGAGAATAGGTGGCCATGATCATTGAAGTTATTGGATCAACAAGTCGATATTTAGCTATGCTTTCAAAATTTGAAATTGAATGAAATATTAACACTAAGCTGTGAGCAAACAAAGGCGCATTGTGGTTACCGATTAACCATTTGGTGAATAATATGATAATAATAGTATACAAGTATAATTAACAGAAATAGCAACTTTCTTGATAAAAACGGTTGCTGTCAAATTATTATAGCATGACGATGATGCTCCTCGAAAGAAATGTGGAGCTCAATCTATCATATGATGCAAAAGGAATGAGGGGAAACAAAGAATTGCAAAGCCAGAAGATACCAGACTTTTTCCCAGTGAAACTTGGAGCTAAGTTGCATCAGTTAAAGTTTTCGTACAAAATCTTAATCTCAAACCGTCATTAGCATCCATGAAATGAATCATACCGCTCCTTTCTATCCTGAAGGCTCTTCATTTGCTCCTTATAATGATTCTCTATGTACTGCTTTGCCGCAGCAACCTTTTGTTTCGTTATATTAGAAAGAGCTTCTTCATCTAGTTGTGCATCTGAAACTTCGATTCCTCCTCCAGAACCCTCCTTCTTCTTCGAAGAAGACCTCATTTTATCCCTTGGATGAAACTTCTGAAACCAACCTCTGGCAGAATCCATATTATTCGCCAAGCTCAACAGTTTCCTTGATGACTAACGATCATCCTACTTTGCTCTATATACAAGACAAGTTCCCTCTGAGAAACACTCGCTTCATAACCCAGAAAACCTAATTGCAAGAAACCTGCGTAAGAGTAAAAGTCACGCAAACAAATTTTACATTTACATCCAAAGCCCAAAAAAGAAAGTTTTGTTCGCTCTTCAAAACGCGCATGTAGCCCATGTCACAAAATTCAAGCCAAAAGTTTCAAGCATTTTCGAAGCAAATGTCGTTTGATTGATGCCGGAAAAAAGCAGGAGTCAAAATATGTGAACCCAGGACCATTCAGAATCCAATGGCAATCACAATGACAAGGAATTGCGTTTCAATGAAGCAAAAAAATTAATAAGGCTGAGAATTCGGATTACCGGCTAATTAGTAGTAGGCCAAAAGAGATAATGATCCCGCGAGACTCTTGAAAGAGAAACGAGAAAGTTGGCAGTTAATCCAGTAATTTCGGTGTCCGATGGCTTTGTCTTGGTTCCGGCTCTGAGAAAATTAGACGAAGAGTCCGCGCGACTCTCTCAAACTGGACGCGGCAAAGCCAACGGTCAGTACTCTTCCCGGTAGCCGTTATAAATAAAACACTCGAACAATTTATTTAAATACTTTAATGATATAGATTTAATTTTAAAAAATGACTTCTGGCCCAAAAAAATTAAAAATGAATGTTTTTAACTTTATTTACGTATTTAGCCCAATAGCCCTTGCCTTAAAAAATCTACTTTTTTTAAGGTTAAGCTCTTCAATCTGGCATCAGAATGCGGAGAATTCTATAAAATATATATATATTTGATGATAGTTAAGGATGTCTTATTACATTATAGAAATTTACATATAGGGAGTGTTTTGTAAGGGGTTAAATTTGAACTGCCAAAATTATATAGTTTGATCATTGTTCTCAACGGCAGAATATAAGTTTCGCAAAATCAGATAAAAAGACAACCACATGGCATCAAGATTCTGTTTTGGCCATGACACTGTATTAAGATTAGTGAGGTTTTTTTCCCCTTAACTTGATTTTTCCGATTGTGCTTTCAAAATTTCATCTCCAAGGCAGCATTTTTGAAGAATAAAGGCTCAGGAAGTGGATAAAATAGTAGGAAATAGCCATACATATATAGAAGGCGTAAAGTTTAAATTGCTTGCAAGTGAATAAAAGGAGGATTTACTGAAGATGCTGATAAAAAGAAGGAATCTTTGTCACGTGACCAGGCGACTATAACGTGGCAGCTACTTTTACTTGTACCGCCCACCAAACTATCAAAATAAAAAGGATCCGGAATCGCTTGATAGACAAACCAACACCTCAAAGATGTGAACAGATGAAAGGCAAAGCTTAGCTTATGGTTAGCGTCGTGCCCTCTCAATTGCATAAAGTGATGAGTATCTTTAGAATAGAATACATACAAGTATGGATTATTTGAGCACACTTGGGAGATTGTAGACCGGTAGCCTGCCTGAAACAGTTCGAGTATTGCCAAAAAAAATGTCACCAACATTTCTTTGGTTTTTTTGCCACGTGACCAACATTTCCAAGAGTTGGGAGGAAAGACACCACATTTGTCTCTCGTTTGTTTCTAGATATGAGTATCCTTTTATTAAAGTCAATCATATTTGAGACACTATTGAATACTAAATGTAGGTACATCTTTAAATAGAAATTTGAATTTTGATTCGCTATACTATAAGAAACTAATTTCTTTCAGGTTTTCACTAAAATCTGTCTCTTGTTGAAAAAATAAAAGAATTCCTTATAGTTGTTCTCAAAAGTCCAAAAAAGGATGACTCCTTATTTATTCAGTTATTCTAGCTTTAAAACAAAATACTACCTCCAGTCTTTGATATAAAATTTTGTTTGATTTTATTTTGGTTCTAAATATAAAACCCTAATCCAATTTGTCTCTCATATGTATACATCTTTTTCCAATGTAGTCCTTCTAACAATAGTAATTCTAACTAATATATTTGATTAGTAAGGATATTTTAGGAAAGATAATACTCCTCCGGTCCTAATTATAAGACCCAATTGACTTATTTGAGGAGATTAAGGAAGTAAGTTAAGTTGGTTATTTATAATAAATAAGTGTTGTCATTCCTAAAATATCCTTGCTAATTAAGTATATTGGCTAAAACTATCATTATTAGAAGGATTATCTTGGGAAAAAATGCATAAATATAAGAGACAAAATGGATTGGGGTCTTATAATTAGGACCAAATAAAAAGTCAAATGGGGTCTTATAATAAGGACCGGAGGAGTACCTATTTATTATAAACAACTAACTTAATATCTTTCCTTAATCTCCTCAAATTAGTTAATTAGCTCTTATAATTAAGACCGGAGGTAGTAATTGTATTTTTATGGTCATTCTTCTCTAGTTGTTACATGTTAGTAAATCCTGGATATTGCCAAAAAGTTGATTGTGGTGGAAATAAGAATATTCAGACATATATACGTGATCATCTGAGAAAACATAAAATTTAAATGACCATATGCGGGAATGGAAAGGGTTGGATAGTATTTATCAAAAAGAAAATACTTAAGAAACTGTTCAAAGTGGTATGGATATTGGATAGGTACAAAGAAAGACAATAGGGGTGCTAACTATAAGGATTTAGTATATGGTTTAGAATGTTGTGAACAGGGGCATATCCAAAGCAAGAAAAAAAAAGTCAAGCCATTAGCCTTTTAGTGAACGATATGTATGAAGAGTTAATAATTCCACTTAACAAGACAACAAAAATTATTTTTTTTTCATTTTCTATTTTTTTTAAGCTCTCAATTTCATTATTGGCACCTTGTACTCTATCGAAGGTTTAAAATTAAAATCATGGCATCTAAACAATCCAAATGTCTATATTTTTCGTCCCAGCACTATTTCATCTATCTAAATCTTGCAAAGGTTGGAAAAAAAAGAGGCACATGCCCCATTATATTAGATTATTTAGTTGTGACTAATTTTATTTGCCATCTCCAACATCCCACACGGCACGCTTCAATAAGTCGTCTCAGAAGAGGCCAGGGTGGAAAACAGATCATCACTCTCAAGGAAATTTCGTGGCAAGGATCATCCCCCATGAATGTTCAAATGCTTTTATTTTTATTTTTATTTTGGCCAACCTTTAATTTTTAATTTTAAAAGTTCAGGGATTTAGCAGCACCAAAGTTTAGAGGAATTTGTTTGCATTTTCCTCACTTGCAAATGCAGGGAGATCATTAAAACACAGTAGAAGCCATCAAGATGAAAATACCATCAGCAAGAACACCCGTTCCTCGAGCAGAACGTCAGAAATACAGCTTAAAAAGAGCCACATTGGGATGAGAAGAGTATTTGTATGATATAAACATAATTCTCACCCAAAAAAAAAAAAAACAAGAAGAAGGAAATAGCATAAACATAATACAGGATATTTCTGTCCAATCATTTGGTAACTTCCGCTAAGTACACTTGAAACAGTCTCCCTCCGTTTCTTCATTAGTTCCATACTTCCATTGTTTCTTTTGTCAACGTAAATCCAAAGGAAAAAAATTCAAGAAAATAAAAGCCTCGCAGTCAAATTACTCATATTAACATGATCAGAAGGCTGCCCATCCTGACGCAGTGGTCGAACCTGAAGCGGCTTTTGTGGGAAGATTCTTCTGTAAATACAAACCAGAAACACGTTTAGTTAAAAATGCCAAAGGAAAAGCATTACCAAGTCCCGGGTTAACGGAAAAGGGCGCTCGCGCTTATCCAAATATGGAGGGTAAGTCAGGCTCAAGCACAAGGCATCGTTCACAGCATCACGAGTGAACATATTCAATTAATACTTGACAAACACTGTCCAATGAAAAACCAAGCTCTGAAGCAGAAAGAAAATAAGCTGAAACATTTGCTATACAGCCTGCTTTTTTTTTTTTTTTTTTTGACCGGATGCTATACAGCCTGCTTACAATAACACAATAAGAAAATTTTTCAACGCATCAAAATACCCAGTTTGTTATAACTATTATTAAGGAGGTGTGCCTCTTCGCTAAAGAAAAAATGCTATTGCTCATGTCACCCGTCTTCTATCCTAGTGTGCATGGAAGCAATAGCAATGGATATCATATAGATGTTTGGTATCAGGTCACACAGAATGCAGGCCTTATTTCCGCAAACAAGTTTTCATTCAGCACAGCCCTATAGGTTAATATGGTGCTATACTGCTGTAAAGGAGAAGTTGGGGATATAAATATAATTGACGAAAAGAAGAGCGAAACATCATTCACAGCCTTAAATCTGGGACTGAAAAATACATGAGTTCATAGTCCTACATACTCATTACTCCAATGAAGAAAACAAATGAGCAAACATCGTTCAAAAAATCAACTTCTGTACCACTGAATTACTTTTTTGGCTCCACCTTAAAGGATATAGATAGAAAAAGATATTGAACCAAAATGCTTCAGCAAGTCACTTGATTATTCATACGGATTAGCAAGAATATTGCTTTTTTCAAATCACCATGACCATAAAACAGACTACTAAAGAATCTTGATTAAAAGCAAGGATTTAAAAACTACTAAAATATTCGAAATAAATGAAATTTTAATTTTAAATAAGAAGTAACCATGAATAGATGCTTTGTTTTAACCTTAGCTGTGGCATTAGAAATGGAAAAATAGAGCACGTAATCTTCCAATTTTAAATGGCATGACTGTTTAGGTCATACAGAACTATTACCTTTAATTGAGAGAGGTCTAAAGAAGTATCATTAGAATTTCTTCCACTTCCGTTCGTCTCCTTAAGACCAGTTATGCGACTGGTAGAAGTCAACCGAGCAGCTACAGGATCATTTGGTGGGGGAGGAAGAGGAGACCTGATTTTTCCTAACCCAGTAGGCGGGGGAGCAAGGCCCGAGGCTTTAGGTTTCGTACTTCCAGAAGGTCCACCTGTTAAACCTGCAGCAGAAAGCATGCCCGTTCCACTAGATGATGGTTTAGGCTTCACGTTAATCCGGATGGTCTCACCTTCCTGCAATTTGAAACACATGAAAGTGAACGTCAAACAAATGAGAGAAGAGAGATAGCATAAAATAAAACTTAATCCCGACCGCAGAGAAACAAAACACTTGAGGCAGAGCAGAAGTACAGAATCATCCTTCCTAATAATTTGTAGGGACCAAGAGAAGGTAAAATATTCCACAAGGAAAACCACGTTAAGGGATAATAAAACAAAAAATGAAAAAATACATCTGACACGCATCTTCAGACTCCGACAAGCCCTCAAATGTTTGTATGTTAATGCGGATCACAGGCAGATGAGTTCTCCATGGCTCAATGATCAGGTAATGCATACATATTCATATATGCTCATGCTCGTGCGTTGCCGCGTAAAAGAGATCCACTAAAGAGATCGAGTGGGAACCAAAGTAAACAATGCAGGTGAAGACACAAATAGCCAAAGATCCATTGATAATCCTCTGAACCCAAAAATCAGAGCGGCGAACTACGCGTTAATTATTCAAGTTCAATGAATAAAGCAATCAGAGAACACAAATTTCGAGATTGGAAAAAGTGTTGTAAAGCCAATAACAGCTCTTGCATTGTACCTTCAACCTCTGATTTACAGCGGGGTGAATATCAATCTGAGACTCCTCACTTGGCTCGCCAGATTCTTTCTCGTGCTCCCTCTTCACATACTTGTCGTGATCCGATAATGCCACATTGAAATCAAAAGCTTCATTTCGCTCCGCAAACCCTAATCCAATAAATGCGTGTTTCCCCAGACCATCCTCGATCTTCAGCACGAAGTACCTGGACGAGTCGAGCACAGACTCGACCGAATTCTCGCGCTGACCTGGGTAAACGAAGCACGCGGCAAAGAGCTCACCAGTGTTCGGATCCTCCAGTCGGATCTCGCAACGATCCTTGCACGAAACAACCCTAAGGCGGCCCGACCAGATTTTATCGGACTGAAGCCACTCCCCGCACTTGTACCCACCGGATGTAGTTCGGGGTGGAATTTTGTACACTGAAACCTCGCGGACCACGAGGAGGGTGTGCTCCAATGCCTCCTCCTCAAACGACATCGTCTTTAATCCGAAGAAGAGACTTAGAACTGATAGAATTCAGAATCAAACAGTGGTCGAGAGTGTTGATAAAATTTGATGAAGCAGACGATCGAGGGAGTAAATAAGGACAATAATGGGGTTTCTATCAGAAGCAGAGGCAATGAGTTCCAGGTGAATATGATGCAAATTGGATTGGAGAACCTATGAAATATGAGATAACGAAGGAGTAAATAGCTAGGATTGTGGGAGCAATGCGAAACAAAATCAACCAAAGTCTATGTGTGCTGACGAAATCAGATGAATCAAGCGAGCAAAGGAATCTGATAAAGATGATAATGGGATACAATTAGAAGCTGGAGGAGTAATTTTTAGGTAGAATTGAGAGCTGAAGATAGGTGTGCGAATGGAAGAAAGGTGGAGGGAGCCATCTACCCATCCCAGACTTCAAAGCTGGCTTTAGACGTGGGTTTCAGCTTTGAATCAGCTCCAAATGTCAGCTGTACGGGGAGGAAAGTTTGGCCCTTGCATTTTTTTAATTTTTTTGCGCGGAATAATGAAGAATTGTCGTGTTAAATTCACTCTCTCCCTCTAATATTTTAGACATTGGTTTGCCAAGTTTGTATTGGTAGTAATGACTAAATCACAATATAAGCCAAGGCAATTAAGGAGACAGGAGAAATGCAAAATGATGAAACGTTAGTTAAAATGATAGGATGTCTTAACTGACATTCATAAGTCTGGAATTCACATATTGTTTCTTTTTTTTCTTCGTTTCAGGAGCGATTTGATATCCCACCTTATCTTTTATAAAACTATAAATATAAATTTAATTTAAATCGGTAATATAAAGTTTCATTTTGCCAGCAATTCTGTAATATAATTTTTTTCAACAAAAAAGAAATTGCATTAAAAGAAACAAGCACAAACAGCCATCAATTCGAAGAACAAAATAAACAAAAACAAAACTATAAATAACAGAAACAACTAAGAAATACAATCAGACACTTTAAAAAAACTAGGTTTGAAGCAGATTACAATATTATATAACTTTGATAAGATATTTCTGTTGGACAGCTTTTGTCTAAAGTGAATATAACATTGTCTATGGTTTGATCGCACGTTTGTGCAGTGCTGACTGGTTCAGAGAATTTTTTTTTTAATAGTCCGTTAAAAATCATTTTTTAGGTTACAGAATATTACTCCTCCAGTACTTATTACTTAATATTACGCCATTTCAGCTTTCACGGCCTCGATTCCTCTTTTTTTTTTTTTTAATTAAGAAGACGAGTTAATCTTGAACGATTACATCAGAAGCTAAGAGCCTAACATCTAAGACCTATCTGAATCAGCATGCAAATAATCAATACAAAAATCAGGAGGTTCCCAAATAAACTCCAGATTGTGGTTCGCGTCATGAGCCATTTTG